TTTACTGGGTATAAAATTCTTGGTGACTTTTATTGATTTTCATTACCTTAAGATATAAATTCATTGTATTCCATTTTGGACAGCTTTTGAGACAAAGCCTATTGATTTTTTTTATCTTTGCTTTCTGTATAGAATTAATTTTTTCACATTGACTGCTTTTAAGATTTTCTCTTGACCACTGGTTTTCAGCAATTTGATGATAATGTGCCTTGTGATTTTCCTCATGTTTCTTCTGCTTGGGTTCATTGAAATTTTGGATCTGTAGATGTAGAGTTTTCATCAAACTGGAAAAATCTTTTGCCCATTATTTCTTCAAATATTCTCCCCATCCTATTTCCTAGGACACTACACCTAAGTTAGTCTGCTTGTTATGGTACCACAGCTCACTGATACTGCGTTAATTATTTTCAGTCCTTTTTTTCCTCTATGATTCATTTTTGACAGATACTATTTGTCTTCAGATTCACTCATCTTTTCTGCAATGTCTAATTGCTGTGTATTGTTCATTTCAGATAAGGTAGTTTTGAAGTAGTATTTGGGCCTTTTTATATTTTTTATTTCTTATCATAATCATGTTTTCCTCTAGTTTTTCGAGCATTATGATCATATTTATAGGAGCTGTTATAACTTCCCTGCCTGCCAGTTCCAAATCTGGGTGTATTTTGATTGATTTTCTCAGTATTAATCACATGTTCTTGCTTCTTTCCATGCCTGGTAACTAAGACACAAGGCATTATGAATTTTATACTGTGTTTTGGATTTTATTATTTTCCTTTAAATAGTTTTAGATTTTGTTCTGGCATAAGTTATTTGAAATCAGTTTGATCCTTCTGAGGCTTGCTTTTAAATTTTGCTAGATCAGGTTCATAGCAGCCTTTAGTCTAAGGCTCATGACTACTAAGGTGATACCTGTTTGAGGACTCTACCTGATATCTGATGTATGATGAGGTCTTTCCACTGGTGGAAACATGGATGTTTCCAGTTTTATGTGAACTCTGGAAATTGTTCAGCCTACTGTTTTTTGGGGTTTGTTTTGTTTTGTTTTGCGGTATGCGGGCCTCTCACTGTTATGGCCTCTCCCGTTACGGAGCACAGCCTCCGGACGCGCAGGCTCAGCAGCCATGGCTGACAGGCCCAGCCGCTCCGCGGCATGTGGGATCTTCTCAGACCGGGGCACGAACCCATGTCCCCTGCATCGGCAGGAGGACTCTCAACCACTGTGCCACCAGGGAAGCCCCAGACTACTGTTTTTTGATGATTCTTTCTTCAGCAGGAGGTAGCTCCCTTTCACACATATGCAGATCCATACTCCGCCAAAGACTGAGAGAAGCTTTCTATAGGTCTACAGAGGTTTCTCTCCATGAAGATCCCTCTGTCTGGTATTCTGTCCCACAAAATCTCAGCACTTGGTCTCTCTGAATTGTGATCTCTGTCTCCTCAGTTCAGTGAAAACTGCCTGAGCTCTCTTTGGGTTCTTTTCCCTTATGCTGCAGTGTAGAAATTACCTCCAGGCAGTTAGCTAAGACAATTGTAGCACTCACCTCACTCATTTTCTTTCTCTTAGGGATTACAATTTGCTTGTTTTAGCTCAGGTCTCCACTCAAATTCAGATTTCTTTATGGTGGTTCTGTGAATAGCGATGAACAGCATTCCTAAATGATGAATATGTTTTTGCCTAAATCCACAAAGCCCTTCTAGTCTTAGATTCTTGTTTATTAGTGAATCCTGTGGGAGATATCAACTTAATTCTCACATTTTGAGGAACGTACCATGGTTGCTCCAGCCCATATAATTCTCAGGAAACTCAAAGACTGAGCTAGCCCTTGAATTTCAGCTGGATTTGTCAGCCCGCCTCTATTTTTCATATATATAATGTAGTTCTTAACTCCTCCTGAGTTTCTTCCTCTGAAGAGGCAATTCTCACAATTTTATCAATGCAATGCACTAACTTGGTTGGTATTAATGGTTTTCAAGTCCAGGTCTTACCTCACTGGATTGTGATGATGAATTTAAACATTACAGTGGCAGCACAGTAAATGTATATTGAGTTCCAGTCCATGAGAATGGAACATATTGTACATGGATGGACTCTGAAAATGGTATTGTAAAGTAGGTGTTGGTCAGGGCTATAATGGCCTACTAGTCCCCCTGGTCCTTTTGCACTTCCTGTTTATAGTCTTTTTATATCAGGTACAGCTATAGCAATAAGAAGCACTACCTTGTATAATCCTTGATTGCATATTGTTAACCTCCAGGAACTAGCCAGACTAGATGATTAAAAATGAGCAGTGATCTCCTTTTGACCTCCTGGAATCCTTATTGCTTAATGTTTACTACTAAGAAGGGCCTGGGCAATTCCAAAGGTTTCCATTTAGCATGGCCAGTTAAAACAAAATGAAGGGACAGACTTAGTACACATCCCTGTAAAAAGGGTAAGGGCAACATATACTATTCACACATAATATCCATACCAATTATGCATTCAGGTAAAGATGAAATGACCACAGGAGAAGCTCAAGAGTTATATTTTCCAATTTTTAACCTTAGCCCTACTTTGGTTTTCTCCACTACAGCATTCCTATATACCACAAATTTCACCCTCAGCCTTTCAGTGCACAATTCCTATCTTTCACAGGGGTTACATAGGATACTGAGCCCAGCGTCTAACTAAAAAGTTTTGCATTCCACCCCAACAGTGTATGTAGCCTAAGATTCCCTGCTAGGGACTGGGCAAACAGATCTGACTTCTCAGTGTTTTTCAGATTCTACGGCTTTCTGAGAGAATAAATTCAGTCCCCTTTTTATTTTCCATTGTAAATCATGATCCTCATAATTGGGCTAAATTTCTCCAGAATAGATAGAATGAATTTGCTGAAGCATTTTAAAAGGTGGTGCCAGGGGCTTCCCTGGTGGCACAGTGGTTGAGAATCTGCCTGCTAATGCAGGGGACACGGGTTCAAGCACTGGTCTGGGAAGATCCCACATGCCGCGGAGCAACTAGGCCTGTGAGCCACAACTACTGAGCCTGCGCGTCTGGAGCCTGTGCTCTGCAACGGGAGAGGCCGTGACAGTGAAAGGCCTGCACACCGCGATGAAGAGTGGCCCCCGCTTGCCACAACTAGAGAAAGCCCTCGCACAGAAACGAAGACCCAACACAGCCAAAATAAATTAATTAATTAATAAACTCCTACCCCCAACATCAAAAAAAAAAAAAAAAAGGTGGTGCCAGAATGCCTTTCCCATTTCCTAAAACTAATAGTGCTTTATTAGGTCCTTAGTAAAAACTCCATCAATTTCCTACTTTGTCAACCCATTTTTCATAAGTCATCTGAAACAGTAACTGGTTGAGCCAGTTACTGTTCTCCTATCTTTTCATTTCTCTCCTTTTTTTTTTTTTTTTTTTTTTTTTGGTTTTTTTGGCGCGCCTGTTGTTGAGCACAGGCTCCGGATGCGCAGGCTCAGCGGCCATGGCTCACGGGCCTAGCCGCTCTGCGGCATGTGGGATCCTCCCGGACCGGGGCACAAACCCGTGTCCCCTGAATCAGCAGGCGGACTCTCAACCACTGTGCCACCAGGGAAGCCCATTCACTTCTCTTCTTTTTGCCTCCTTTCTTTTGGATAGCTTGGCAGTTTTTTCACAATGCAGCCCTATGCATGGTAACTAAGCCAGCAGATCAGTTACTGCCCTGAATAGTCTCTTGGCTTCCCAAGAGCAATGTTTTCATGATGACCTACTCGCATGACTTCATTATTTGTGCCAATGGCATCAAATTATGTATCTCCCTCTGGTCTTAATAAAGCCAGTCTAGGGTTAATTGTAACTCATACCATTTCTATTATTGCTTTGGAAGGAGTATTCCATTTGTAGTTCAGGGAAGGGGTGAGGCACCTACTCTTCTCAGGGTAAGATTGCCAAATCCTAACCATAATGCACTATAGCAAGTTAGTTGTCATACCGTTCAGAAGTATACAGAATGGACTGTCATATCATCCATCTGCTCAACCTAGATACTCCTTTCCATTCAACCATGTCTAGAATAGTGATATGGCTTCCTGATTGTTAATTCTAAAAATCCATGTCAATAATCATTCCCCAGGCTTCTGCTGCTATTTTCTATAAAGAGCACTAACTCTTAAACAGAATACTCTTAGCATTGAGTAGTCACCTGACCTTGGTCTCCAACTACCTGTACGGTATTTCTACTGATCAATTTAGTTACTTTGTTAGCAAATATATATGGAAGCAGAAGGTTTTCCAGTGATGGGTAAAGATAGTCTCAAGCTTTTTCTCCAACTACTATCTCTTTTTTTTGTTGTTTTTAAATTGTCCTGCTTTTACCGGGGCTGCTAACAATAGTTAAGCCCTCATCACCATTTTCTACCCTTTTTTTTCTTGCCAAAAGGTGTCTTATATATCTGTGGGTCTGAAAAACAAAATCCCACTGACTAGGCCAATTTGCAATAACAAAAGACTGTACTATGAAATCAGACTCATACAAACCAGAGACCTTACCTAGTAAGGTCAAGCTTTACTAATAATTCCAAGGATACAAGCAATCAAAGGGCCAGGTGAAGCAGGGAGAGGGCCAGAACTATGAGTGAAGCTCTCCAGGTGTTTTCTGGTCACACTGAACCTGACGTGAACCAGGTCAACAGGTAAGGTCTCTAAGCAATGCATGTAGCTTACATCACTTACACAGAAAATAGATACCTCAGGCATAAAACATCTTGATTGATTTCCTATTCAGATAGTTACATACCTTACATGACATGTTCCAGGGAGCCATGCCCCCAAACCCAAAGATTCCAGGTTTGTTTACCAAAACCAACCACAGCAACCAGATACGTCCTGCTAAAGGCAGTTTAAAGATAAGGACTCCTCCCCACTAGTAAATATCATTAGTGATTTTGTTTTGTTTGTTTATTTTTGCCATGACATCTGTAATTAATGTTTATAAGGAGATTTATATGAGTTCTTCCTTTTTTTCCAGGGGACTTACCCCAGTTACTGGAAAGAATGGGTTACAGATCTACTACTTGATCTTTTGTTCCCAGTAATTATGGGATCTTCTAATCAATAACATCTCCTATGTCCTTGAGAATGAAGAACATTTTTCACTGTGGAAGAAAGCACAGATGGAAGACAGAATAATTACAGTCCTTATATAGCCCTAAATTTGATTTCAAAATATCATGAACTCCTGAGGTTATACATATACACATATATATATATCATCTCCCATTAAAAAAAAACCCAAGGCCTTCTTAAAGAAATGGATGTTCTAGGTCTGGGGCAGAAAATGTACAAAATGACACTATATGGTCATAGCAGTACTATTTATAATGGTACCAAACTAGAAACTACCCACAGGCTATGGAAGATAGAATGGACAATTCAACTGTGGTTTACTCCTACAATGGAACACTACACTATAAGGAGAAATGAGCAAACTATTACATCATTCAATAATGTGGATGAATCTCATAAGCATAATGTTGAGCCAAAGAAGCCCGACACAATGGAGGCTATACTCTATGATTCGGCCATATAAAATTCAAGAACAGGAAAAACGAATCTACGGTATTAAGTATCAGAAGAGCTATTACCTCTGGGAGGGCAAGGCAAGTATTGACTAGGGAGATATTAGCAATATTCCATATCTAGATTTGGGTGTTGATTATATAGATACGTTCACTTTTTGAAAATTCACCAAGTTGGACACAAGAATTTGTGCAATTTTTTGTATTTATGTTATACTTCAATAAAAGGTTAATTAAAAACAAAACAAAACATGAAGTAAATCTACATTTATTGACATGGAAAAAAAAAATCTCCAAAACATATTGTTGAGTGAAAAAAGGCAAGTTGCCCATCAATATACAGAGTAAGATACTCTTCATATAACATTTCTATGTAGAAGTACTATGACTGTTTTATGGCTTTTTAAATATTACATATACACATACCAAAAAAGTGATTAAAAAGATGATCAGCATCACTCTGGTGGCTATCTCTGGGAAAGGGAATCATTGGCAGCAGAGGAGCAGATAGAAAACACATCAAATCTTTTCTGTAACCATGAAAATTTAACATTATATGGCAAGAATGTTTTCATGTAATACTCATACAATTAAAAATAAATATTTCTAAAAGGCAGGATTGTTCTTAAATCCAATGTGGAAACACTTCTTTAAATAAGTCTAAAAACCAGAAACCCCTTTAAGCACTAAGCCATTAATGTGAAAATTTCACGAGTTCACTCACGCCTGCAAGACACCAAGGCTGTGTAACACAATTATTCGAAATTTGTTTTTTATACGTCCATATAGAATCAACCCTTTTATAAGACCATTCCATAATCTCACGGGCCACAAAACTTTGCTGACCCCCTCTGTGAATGGAAAGGTCCTATTGTCCCATTTTTTGTTTAAAACTTTTCCTGAAAATTTTAAAGTGTGTGTGTGTGTGTGTAAGCTTGGAAACCTATATTGCATCATTTATGTTTGTGTCTTTAGAAGGAATGTGCCACTCAACAAATCTTTCTTTAATAGTGTTCTTGAGAATAACTTTCATCTTTGCACACCGATAGGCAATCAATAGAAACTATGTGCTGTAAGTGTTCAAATCGGATCTATACTTTTGTCATTGGGATGTCAAGGACAAATTATCTCAGTTTTATATTTTACCCAAAAGTTTAATACAGTTAATCACCATCCCCAACCTTTACAGAGAGGCGCACACACATCCACACACACAAATGAAAAGACAAGCAGTATCAGCCACGTACTATAATAAAGGTGGCAGTAAAGTCATATTCTATTGCTCTGTCTTTCTAACGGGGCAAGATCTCTCAGGGTTCTAATACATTCCATTTTCTAGTAGTAAAAGGGACAGAATATGTACTGTCCAGTGAGGTGTCACATGAACTTCATTACAGGACTATGCAATCTGAGAAAATCCAAAAGAGAGTGAGCGACAAAGAAAGTGAGAGAGCATATTCTGTATACATTCATATAGAAACTCATATGACAAATATATCCGTAGTGAGAACTTCAATCATAAGAGTTATTGAGCAACATTTTCTCAGAAATGAGAACACAACACCACCTCAATGTTTTTCTTTTTAACAGCTAAGGAGATCAACTGCATGTTCTCTAAATAAGGCTTTCCACTAAAGATAACACCTCAACTTCCACAAGAAGAGAGTAGCTTTGTGTTTACCAGGAAGAAATATTAGGGAATCTTCCTTTTAATGCTGTTTAAAATGTGAAATTATCTGTGAAATCTTCCACAGCTTTGGACCTTGTTATTTTAGAGATAAGCAAGGTGAACACTCTCAAATGAGGTACATGTTTTAGGCTTTGAGAACCCTGAGGCTCCAGGGCATTTACTGTAATAGGTTCATGAAATAAATGAATTGGGCTCAAATCCCATGGTTTCTTGAAAATGAATGTAATTATAAAAATTCAAAGCAACAAATTAAATGTGTTCGTATGTAATATCCATTTTTGAATCAGATTACCACCTTGCCTGTTGTGTCTATGCTAACTGATCAAACGACATTTTCTCAAACATGAATTTCTCATCATCCTCAACAAAAACCCACTACGCGGCTTATTTCTGATACCACAAACAAAGACAACCCTTCTATTTCAGCATTATTCAAAGTACGTTAAAAAAAAATACAAGGAAAATATCATGTGTTGTACCAAATACAGATTTTAAAAAGCTTCAAAAAAAATCAAACTATATTTTCTGTTTCCTATGAATATGAATTCCATATCTTATAAAAAGAACTTAAATTGAAGGACCACAATATAATACCAGTTTTAGAGGTAGTTATATACTAAAAAAAAAAGAGGCTCACTATTAATCACTTTGGTTAATAATCAAAAGCCCATTTTAGAACTTCCCCTTACTCAATTTCTTCAGCTTGTGACTCCACATTTTTATATTCTAAGTCATTCTTCCTTTTTACTTGTAATTGCTTATTAGTGAACTCAGATTATCTGTGTGGTAACAGACAGCTCCCTTGGAATTCTGGTTACATACCTAGAGCTGCTACTTTGATGATGATTGCTTGAACGTTAGATGATATCATCTCTCGGAGCAAATCTTCCTGGTTTCTTTGCCAAAGGTAAGCTAAAGGCTGGAGATTAAGCCTTTTACACCTATAACATAATTTTTTAAAAATCAGATATCTTAATGTTCTATACTTGGATCCATAGCAATTACTTTGATTTTAAACATACTGTTTCTCTCAAGGATTTTAGCATATAAAATACTTCTAAAAACACGTTTTGCATAATGAAGTTTATATATACAACATAAATATATTTAATTTCCATGGGCTATGCATAAAGAGATAAAAATGAAATCTCCAGGCAGATTAGAAACATTAATTTTAGTAAGACTCTAAGTTTAGAAATCTATGCAAAAAAGCTTGCAAATGCTAATGGATGTTTATTCTTGTTTTAGAACTTTCTTAGGTATCAAAATTGTGAAGCACAGGCAAATACATTTATCCTAATAAAATAATTATATATTGATTACATTTATAATACCTATGGTTATATGAATTATTCTTATCTAATAACTCTGAAATTTTTTTTTAAGAATTTGACTCTGAGAGGGGGAGGGATAAATTAGAAGTATGGGAGTTAACAGATAAAAATTACTATACATAAAATAGATAAACAAGGGTTTACTGTATAGCACAGGGAACTATATTCAATATCTTGTAATAACCTATAATAGAAAAGAATCTGAAAAAAATATATACCTGAATCACTTTGCTGTACACCTGAAACTAACATAATATTGTAAATCAACTATACTTCAATAAAAAAAGAGAAGGTAAAATAAAGATATGTTAATACAAACAAAAAGAATTAAGAAAAAGCATAATCATAATGACAGCAAAAAAAAAAAAGAATTCGACTCAGTGAAAAGAAATAGTAAGAACAAAAGTACATTCATTGAATACCTAGTATGCTGCAGGTATTGTACTACATATTTTACATTATGTTGCTGTAGAAAGAATGCAGATTTTGGATTCCAGACAAATCTGAGTTTGAAACCTCCTTCTACACTCACTAGCTGCATGACTTTGAAAAGTCAGAGCTAAGCTCCAGGCCTTTAGTTTCCCAGTTCATACATATGGACAAAAATATTTCCTTCCAAAGTTCCTGAGAAGAGTAAAATATTAGAAACTGAAGTCATTCATTATTCCTCTTTTCTTCACATTCCACATCCAATCTACCACAATGCAGAATATGACCACTCCTCACCAATACCACTGCTAACATGCTGGTCTGAGCCACCAGTATCTCTCCTAACTTCTTCCCATTTCCATTCTTGCCCTTTTAAAATCAGTTTTCAATATAGTAGCCAGTGTGACCCTTTTAAAACATAAACGGATCGTGGGATTTCTCTGCTCAGAACTCTCTCCATTACTCCTAGTAAATTAGACCTACATGGATCTCACCCTGGTTGGCTCTCATACCTCATCTCCCACTACTCTCCTCTCACTCCAACCTGCCACCCCTGGCCTGCTCACTCTTGCCTAACACACTTGCCATGTTCCCTACCTTCCTCACTTGCTTTATGCCTTTGCTTAAATGTCACTTTCTCAGGGAGGACCCATTGATTAAAATTAATGTAGATAAATTGATTAATCAATTAAAAGTAATGTAGATAAAAAATGTAGTACAATACCTGGATAAAATAGGTCTTCAGTAAATGGTAGTCACAGCCAAGTGCCTTGCTCAAGTCACAGAGTAAGTGGCTGAGATCAGATTTCAAATTAAAAAAACGTATCTCTAAACCCCATCATCCCTAGTGTCAGTAAGGTTTCCTGGCTGACTACTCCAGCACACACTGAACTCTTTCTCAGATAATCCCAGTACCTATTAAATGTACCACACGTTTAGTCATTTACTCATATATGGTCTTAGAAATATCACTCTTTTTTTCATGCACATATACCCTGACCTTCAAAGAAATCAAAATCTTCCTGAATGTAGAGACTTTTATCAGTATATAATTTACCTTTGTAAAATGTCCTGAGCATCTAAAGCAATGTGGAGGCAGTTAATAAATACAAAAATAATAAAACTGTAACTCTCCATGTAACACAAGCATTACAGTTTTTGCTGTCCTATCACCAATCTTTAATGCCTACTAATCAAACTTCTCTCCACCTTTTTCAGCTAAAAGGTTTTTTTTTGTTTGTTTTGAAAAAAATTTTATTCCTTCCAGGCCTTATTGCAAAATTCTTGATTGTTTCTTCGGTATCCCTGATCTTTTGGCTGTTTTTAGACTTAAGTCATACTTCTTTACCTATTTAAATTCTTTAACAGTTTAAAATATCATGGCTGGGGCTTCCCTGGTGGCGCAGTGGTTGAAAATCCGCCTGCCGATGCAGGGGACACGGGTTCGTGCCCCAGTCCGGGAAGATCCCACATGCCGTGGAGCGGCTAGGCCCGTGAGCCATGGCCGCTGAGCCTGCATGTCCGGAGCCTGTGCTCCGCAGCGGGAGAGGCCACAACAGTGAGAGGCCCGCGTACCGCAAAAAAAAAAAAAAAAAATCATGGCTGAAATAAGCTTCCTCTGTAAATCACTGTTGTATTTGAGCTTGTGACATCTATTAGGTGCTTCATACCTTGAAAATATAATGATGCAACACTAACTACAAATTGAAGATCAGCTAATTCAAAACTGAGTTTGTAGACCAACAGGCTCCCAATAACACTGCTTTACAATTTTCAAGGATTATTACAGATGTGCTTTATGGTATATAATCTGGGCATCTTAAACCATGTGTTGAAGTGCACCTGAGACTGCATTTTGAGAAATAGCTTGCCTCTACCTATGAGTAATCAATGGGCCCTTCTCCCATTTAGATATTGCTATAAGGCAGCTTCACCTCAGGAGCACATTTTCATTCAGCTCCTTAAAGCTTTCATAAATAGATGTCAGCCCTATTTGCAGCTTGGCTACCCAGTGAACCATGTAGGTTTGAACTTATTCAAAAACAAAGATTTTTAAACAAAATAATTCTCAGAGAACATGACTTAAAACTTGATGAGAATAATATTATTTTTAACATATGGCTAAGGGATATGCAATCCATCTCCATCTATAAATCAGCTGTTCTCAAATGTAGGCAGACAGAATGTAAGGAAAACTTTTTCCAAATACACGTTTGACCTCCTCCCCTACTTCCACCTCCACTCTCCATTCTCCAGAGATTCTGATAGTCCCCCAAATATGAGATCATCATACTTCTTTTTGTTTATTTATTCTTTGCCCTGCTTTCCCTTCATTTACTTTTAAAATTCTATACATTTAACTGCCTTAAATTCATTGTGGAATTAGAGAGAAAATAAATAAAATAAAAAATAAAACAAGTTTTCAAGTCTATTAATATGAAAGTTTTTAATGAGATAGTCAATATGAATGTTTCTTTGTCAAGAACATGAAACAATTACATAAATACAGCCCTTATGTTATTTTCATTTACCCTTTTAAATGGCAAAATCATTTATTTCTACGTCGAATGTGCTCAGGATTAATAGTGAAGTCCTTATTTTCTGTTTTGATAATATAATGACATGTAAAGTCTCTATACAATATTTTATTTATCCGAATAAATTAAAAATGAAAATTAAATTCATTTGTGGGTGTTTTGCCAAGCCAACGTTTAATAATCATTATTATTATTATTTTTTAAAGATGTTGGGGGTAGGAGTTTATTAATTAATTTATTTATTTTTGCTGTGTTGGGTCTTCGTTTCTGTGCGAGGGCTTTCTCTAGTTGTGGCAAGCGGGGGCCACTCTTCATCACGGTGCGCGGGCCTCTCACTATCGCGGCCTCTCTTGTTGCGGAGCACAGGCTCCAGACGCGCAGGCTCAGTAGTTGTGGCTCACGGGCCTAGCTGCTCCGCGGCATGTGGGATCCTCCCAGACCAGGGCTCGAACCCGTGTCCCCTGCATTAGCAGGCAGATTCTCAAACACTGTGCCACCAGGGGAGCCCTTATAATCATTATTTTCATCTGACCTTATGTTTTTTGAGTAGATCAAAGGAGTTGACTATTTTGGTACCTGTACAGACAATGTTTTACTAGTACTACATTGCTTGGGAGGTGGGGGAGATGGGAGGAGCAACAATCTAAAAATTACTTTAAAGTTGAATGGCTTTTTATAGAAGTATTTCAATCTCATGAATATTTTTAGTCAAGAGCTGAATTCTAAGGACCAAAGAAGAGATTTCTTAATACATTTTAAAAAAAATATTACTGCACTTTTATTACAAATGATGATAAGATATTAAAAGGGTGTACTAATTCAAATAAGGAAAAATTGAAAATAATACTTTGACTTCAAAAAAAATCTTTGTTTCAATTTTTTATTATAAATAATTTATTTTTCCTTATGGTAAGTAAGTAAGTTTTCTCATGTGTTGATATAAGGATAGAAAAAAGTTAAAGTGCAACTTTTGTTATTTGGGGCAATACATTTAGTTTCATGGGGCATGTAGAATACCGTTATCTATTTATTATTTGGATACAATTATCTATTTATTTATTATTGGGGTATAGTTGTTTTACAATGTTGTATTAGTTTCTACTGTACAGCAAAATGGAATTCCCTGGGCTATACAGCAGGTTCTCATTATTTATCTATTTTATACATATTAGTGTATATATGTCAATCCCATATTGACTTTTTATTTATTCACATTCTTAAAATACATAAACTTTAAAAATATAGGACAAATTAACGTTTTCTTACACATTTTCTACTCGAACATGCTGATAGTCAGAGAGTATAGCACCTACTGATATTCCCTCTACTTCTTCTTTTTCCTGAAAATAAAGAAAAAAATATGATTAAAAAATAAATAACATGTGGCTCTGTATCATTTTTTAAAAATTATAAATGAAACGTGTTTCACTTAGAAGACCACCTTGAAACAGAATAACTTACTGGAAATGCAATCCACATTCAGAGAAAAAGAAAGTATATTAAAAAAATATATATTTAAGTCACCCTCTCAGCTCTGGGGGGAAATAATTATTCTTTTTACCTAAAATCCAAATAACTGGAGACCATTTTCCATGGAGAAGATAATGGCAGCACTTCCAAAATGTTTTCTCACTTGATATATTTTTAAAGATTCACTGATGTTTGACAGAAATTTCCAAGAAATTTCTATTTAAGGACAATGTATTCCCAGGTTGAGTAACTTTTTTAAAAAAAAATTAAGCAACGGTATAAGTAGACAAAGGAATACAATGATTTTAATCCATATCTTAAAATGATTGACATAGGAGCATCCAGGAAGCAGAGATGATAGAGGCATTGCCTGTATAACAGTACAGAATAGTGGATAAAGAAATCTAGGATGAGAAGGAAGCAATGAATTATTATCAGTAGAGCTGAGAACATCTAGCAGTATATCCAGCAGAGTCCCCCAGGGATGAGGACTAGTCTATCCAACATAGCCATTAATGACATGGAGGAGAATGTAAATTCAAATATGATCAAGTTTAAAGATGATACAAAGCTAGGATGGATTAAAAAGAAAAGAAAATCAATCAAGTACCTGGATGGATATGGACAACTTGGGGATTTGAAAGGACAGGTCTAAGATGAGATTTAATGTAAAGAAGTATAAAATAATACCCTTAAGGAAGAATCACACACAACACAGGTATAAACTAGGGAAATGTTATCTAGAAAACAGATATGAAGAAAGTGACTGGGGGTGATTACTAATAACAAACTGAATAGAAATTCTCTGAATAGGCATAAAAGAAAAGTCATCCTAGCCTATGGAGTACAGAAGAAAACTACTTCAGAGAGATGACTTCATTATTAACACTGGTCTTTCCAAGCTTGGAAACCTACAAAAAAGAACAATAGTGTTTCACATAAAAATAAATGTAATACTTGGAGACATTCTAAAATAACCCCGAAATGTCCTAAAATGATGCCATAATAAATAAACAAAAATGCACAACAGGAATCTCTCATGTCTTTGAAGATAAAGCCAATTTAAAATTTCCCCTCTAAAATGATAGAGAAACATCTTCCCAAACCTCCCCAAAATAAAATGATTCTTTCTATTAGATAAGGATTCCAGGAAAAGAGCTATTTCCTTTGCTTTCCTATTTCAGCAACTTTGTGAGAACATTTGCTTGTAACCTTTCTCTAACCTTCCTAGCCATTTTCTTTTCATAAAAGTCATTGTATTACTAGAAAAAAGCGTGGCATAGTGATCCTCATTAAATGCACATTTGGCATAGGATCATAGAGTAGTGAATAATGTTATCAAAAATCAAAATTTTAGTTATATTCTTTTACCATATATTGTTTAACTGCCAAAAGAAAATATAAGGTACTGAATAGTATGTGTGTGTGTGTGTGTGTGTGTGTGTGTTTCTCTATAGATCATGAAAACAAACACAAGTCATTGGTGTTTTTCTTTCTAAACTAAGTCAAGCCACTGTTAAAATAATAATTGGCATTTACTCTCCACTTAAAATGTGTTAATGTTCTATAATTCTCATTTAATGTTCACTACAACCCTAAAATAATTATTTAATTCTTCTTAGTCTACATGCATTGTGAACATTGAGTAATACAGATAAGTAACAGTGACTAGCATCTAGTGAGCACTCAGTAAATATTTTCTTCTGTCATTATCATAACCTTTGTTATCAATAATACTACTTTTATAACTACTTCTGTTACTACTTCTACTATTACTACTACTGACCACCACCACCACTACAACTAGATAAAGGCCTAACTTGACCAACAAAGCCCTTCATTCCTGGGCTTTAATCTCTTGCTCATTATCACTTTTTAACTAGCTTACTAACCCATGATAGTTAATTTTATGTTGGTAAAATAATTGCTGGTAAAACATTATTTCTCTGAGGAAGCTTCTGGAAGAGATTACGATTTGAATTCGTAGACTGGGCAAAAAAGATTGCCCTAACCAACGCAGGTGAGCATCATCCAACCTGTTGAGGACCTGAATAGAACAAAAAGGTAGAGGAGGGGCACATTTACTCTCTGCTTGAGCTGGGACATCCATTTTCTTCTGTCCTCAGACAACAGTGTTCCTGGTTCTTGGGCCTTTGGACTCAGAGTGGAATTTACAACACTGGCCCCCTTATTCTCAGGCTTTTGGGTTTAGACTGGAACTATATACTACCAGCTTTTTAGGTGTCCAGACTGCAAATGGAGAGCGTGGGACTTCTTAGCTTCCATAATCAGATAAGTTAATCCCTCAAAATAAATCTCTTTCTATATATCTTTATATATCCTATTGGTCCCGTTTCTCTGGAGAACCCTGACTAATACATAACCCTTGACAACCGACTCTACAGTCCAGTCACAAATGTTTCCAACCTAGTGAGCCCTGAATAATCCAAGGATAAGTAAGACTTCTGTTGAATCCTTAATCATTCAGAACATACTACTAATTTTGAAGTGAGACCTATAAAAGATAAAAATCTATCACACAGTGAATCTACTCTGCAGAAAATACAAAGCTAAGCTCAGGTTCCACCTGAGCTACCAGACTACCAGAATAAAAGGTGTTATACCGAGGCAGCATAAAGACATAGCCAAATAAATCACCCTGTGACATAACTGAAATAAAAATAAATGTGCTGCAGGGACTTCCTTGGTGGTCCAATGGGTAAGACTCCACGCTCCCAAGCAGGGTGCCCAGGTTCAATCCTTAGTTAGGGAACTAGATCCCACAGGCATGCCACAGTGAAGATCCCGTGTGCCACAACTAAGACCCTGTGCAGCCAAAACAAATAAATAAATATTTTAAAACAAACAAATAAATAAATAAATGTGCTGCAGAAAACAGTTAATATAGAATCTGAGACCCAGAAATTTGACCAGATTCGAACCAACTTCCCATGATCAATCCCATGCCCACTAAGCAACCTTAGGTTGCCTTGTTACTGTCAAACCCAGAAAGATTATGCTAATCCATAAAAACAAGCATTCTCATCCACTTAACAAAAATGGTCTACATTATAAATCAACAAATTGGCATTCAAGCCTATACATTAGTCTTAAATGAATTTGGTCTGTATTCGTCTATACTAAAGAGACTGATAACTTCTTGGTACATTGTCAAAATCAAGTCTCTAGTCTGCAGAGCTATACCACAGTACTCACCAAAGTAATATTCCCAAGCTTAACCAGCCACGTAACCTCTTCTAACAATAATGCTAATTGTCATGTCATCATTCTTTAATGGTTCACCTAATATTAAAACATGTAACCAAAAATGTTTTATATGTCCATACTATGTACCAGTTTAATAAATAAGATTAGCTCTACTGTTGGGAGATTAAGGCACCAAAACTAAGTAATAAAGAAAGTGATATGAAAGCAAAAAGTTGGGGAAGGTTTCACAGAAGAAGTAGACTTCAGGGCCTACTCATCAAGGATATATTTGATTTTGTTGAGAAAGGAAAGAAAGGTAGTAGGGAACAATTCAGACAGAGTGAAGAATATGAACCAAGGCAACAAAATAAAGCATTTGGCATATTAGGAGGCAGTCAGCAGTGTGGGGTAGCTGGAGCTGAAAGCACACATCAAGAAGTGGAAGGAAAAAAGGATGGAAAAGCAAATTGGGATCAGATTGGTCAGAAATGTGGCTTGCATCCTGAAGGTAACAGAGAACCCTTCCCTGTAGAAAATTTTTTCTGACCAACTCCTGCGGTACAATTCACATACAATAAACTGCATCTATTTAAAGTGCACAATTCAATGAGTTTTGACAAACCCACACACCAGTGAACCTGCCACCACAATCAAGATTACTGATTACTCCCAAAAGGTACCTTGTGCCTCTTTGCAGCCCAACCCTTCCCCGTTACGCCTGGCTTTATACAATTACTGATCTGTTTTCTGTCAGTATACATTAGTTTACATTTTCTGTAATGTTATATAAATAGCATCCTACAATACGTATTCTTTGTTTCTAGCTTCTTTCACTCAGTGTGATTTTGAGGTTCATCCATGTTGTATGTGTACCCATAGTTCATTCCTTCGATTCCATTTTAATCCATTGTATGGATATGCCATGTTCGTTTATCCATTCACTTGTTGACGGATATTTGAGTTTAAGGTTCTTATGAATAAAGCTATGAATGTTACTTTATGGCTTTGTGTTAATATATGTTTTCACTTTTCTTGAGTCACTAAAGAATTTAACAAGTGAGATATGATATTTATAAATAAAAAGATAAACGTGGCGACAGTGTGAAGGACTGACTACAGAGTAGAGAAATAGAAGAAGGAGCCTAATCTGAAAGAACTGAAGAATGGAGATAAGAGGACAAACTCCAAAAATGATTTAGAGACAAAATTAGTAGGACTTGTGAACAGTGACAAGAAGCACACATGAAGCATGGGGCCAATGACTGTAATTTAAGTGACTATTAACTGAGAAAGGAAATATAGGTCTTAAAAGAAAATACTGAGTTTATTTAGCAATGTACGTGTTGTGTTCAATTTGTTTGCTAGGTATCCAAAGTAGATAAGACCATTAGGTATATTGAGTACAGTCATCCCTCCATATCCATGGGTTCTGCATTCATGGATTCAACCAACAGTGGATCAAAAATATTTTTTTTTAAAGTTTTCTAGAAAGTTTCAAAAAGCAAAACTTGAATTTGTCGCACACTGGCAACTATTTATAGAGCATTTACATTGTATTAGGTATTATAAGTAATCTAGAAAGGATTTAAAGTATGGTAGAATGTGCATAGGTTATACGCAAGTACTGTGCCATTTTATATGAGACTTGGGCATCCTCAGATTTTGGTATCCACAATGGGGTCCTGGAACCAGTCCCCTGTGGATACCGAGGGATGGCTATACTCTGGTGCTCAAGAGAGTATAGAGGAAGATGGGGGTGCTGTCAGCATGTAAGAGAACTTGAAGCCACAGGAGCAAACAAGAACCTCAAGAAGCAGGACATAGGGTGAGAAGAGGGCTCAATGTGTGACCCTGAGGGTGCAGTGACTTGTAAGAAAAGAAGGAGAAGGAAAATTCAGTGAAGGCACTGAGAAAGAGTGGCCAGGATAATAAGAGACACCACCGGGATAGAGTAATGGTGTGTGCACAGAATTTTGTTAAAATTTCTCAGCAACCCTTATAATGTTTATCTACCTTGGAGCAGGGTTGAGGGTAGTAACGAATATAAATGATTAATGACATTATGTGCTGCTGTTTCTGGTACTCAGTGATGCTACTGTTGATTTTATTATTTCCTGAGTTGAACTTACACATCCATCATCGATAGTGATAATGGCCTCAGCTAAACAGTTTCCACTTGTGTCTGGGAGTCCCTGTGGCTTAGTAATGTGCCAGACTATTTAGGGCCCAGGCCCTTGTCTCTAACTTCTCTATTACTGACATTACTAATTTTTATTTTTATTTTTGCCTTCTTTATTTTTAACTACTTTATGACAGGAATATAATTTAATACGTGTTCAACTCTCCAAATTCTCTGAATTGTGTTGAATTTAGCAATAGATACTCATTAATTGATTAACCATATTTATTTTACTGAGGGTCTGAAATTTATTCTTTGAAGAATTTGGCAATAATATGTGTCAAGTGTTGTGTTCTTGCTTTCATTAAACATCGACAACTTTCCCCTCAGTGGTCATAACCAATTTCCTAATTGTAAAACATTGTAAAATACAGTGGTTCTGTTGAACTTTCTACAGAATTTGGTACTATGTATACAAGAAAGAACACAAGTATGGTTGGCAGACAGGCCTTAAAGGCTGGTTATTCTACTTACCAGCTATGACAACCTGAATAGGTTAATGTCTGTGTTCTCACATATTAAATAAGGTTAATAATATTTTGGGTTGTTATAAGGAATAACTGAGATAATATATACAAAGCCCCTAGCACAAATCTTGGTATATAATAGGAACTTGGTAATATTGTTACTTTATCTTACTTTTTCATCAAAATTCGGTTTCTGTGCACACACCATTGTTGTGCCTCATTATCACGGCCACTCTTTCTCAACATCTTTACCGAATTTTCCTTCTCTTCCCCTCTCTTCTTACAAGTCACTGAACCCTCAGGGTCATATACTGAGCCCTCTTCTCACTCTATGTCCTGCTTCTTGAGGTTCCTGTTTGCTCCTGTGGCTTCAAGTTCTCCTACATGCTGACAGCACCCCCATCTTTCTCTATTCTCTCTTGAGCATCAGAGTACAGTTGTCCCTTGGTACCCACAGGGATTGGTTCCAGGATCCCACTGTGGATGCCAGAATCCAAGGATGCTCAAGCCTTTTACATAAAATGGTGTAGTATTTGCACATAACATATGCACATTCTCTCACATACTTTAAATCTCCTCTAGATTACTGAAAATACCTAATACAATGTAAATGCTATGTAATAGTTGTAAATACAATGATCAGATAAGCTAAGCAGACATCACAAGTTTATTTGTTGCTTAGATCACTCTTTTTTCCCAATTCTGTCAATGTGAAACACACCTGCAAGACTGCTGGGGAGCTAGTCCAGGCAGCTACTGACCTACCTCACCAATCATAACAATAGAGAGTTCACTTGCAAAAACAGACACATACTCATAAACTGGTACAAAACACAACTTCATTATTACTATTTCTACACCTACTTGTGTGCAAAAGGGCAGTTATACCAAGGATTTATTCAGAAAGAGCAAATATATCAATATATCAACACTCTATTTAAGAATCCAAGGTCTGAATACAGATGATCAACCATGCTTCTCAGAATACATTTTAACTTCTGGAGACCAGAAATAGACCAAATTGTATAATGCTTACTTCTGAATAGTAATTCATTTTTCCTATTTCATTTCCAACTTTATACTTCCTCAAATATTTTTACAACATGTGTACTACTTTTCAATTAGGGGGAAAGTTATTAAAATCCACATATGCATTGCACATACTCATCTCTTATCCTATGTGCTGGTAAGCTAGCAGACAAAATTATTCATGTATTTATTATACAGTGATTTATAAAGGCCTATTGTGACAGGTCCTATACTAGGAAGGATGAAACACATTTGAAAACAGCACAGTTGCTAACCTTAAGAAGTTAAAATCTAGTGGTGAGGGATGTGGCAGAATGGACACATTAAGAAATTAAGTAAAATAAGTGACATGAGTCCATATAGAGCATAATGGACCACAAAGGAAAGAATTCTTGCTGGGGGAATGATATTAGAAAATACTTCTTAAAAAAAAATTATACTGCAAATACTCAACAGTCAAAAATGCTGATTCTTTGTCCTTCTTGACCATAAGAAAATAGATAACAGCTCCTTCTACTGTCTTCCTCTACCCTCCTTCATATTGCATTTACGTACAAAATCCACCAAGTATTTTTTCTTCAAAGAAATAAATCTGGATCTAAAAAGAAATACATACAATTTATCAGCTAACCAATCTACATAATACTAATCGTTTATCTCCATTTGGTACCCGATTGTGTGGTTCCATCTTCCATAGAAAACAGCAATCAATAATCATCAAAAAAATATGACCATGTCTATCTGTCAAGGCCGCGGGGCGGGTCCTGTGCCAGCCTGGCACCTTTCTTCTGTGGCTCCTGGGATGCTCACTGCTTTTGGCCTGGGCCTAGATCCTCAGAAAGCCAGGGTCCTCTGCTGGGTGGACAGCTGCCCTGAGGGCTCCACGAAGCTCCTGTGAGCCCAGCCCAGGCCTGGCCCTAGAAGTCCAAGCCTTTGCACCAGGCAGGGAGCTGCATCAAATTATGAGGACCTGCCCATATAAGTTTATAACCTAGTCCTAAAGCCTTATTAACTACTAAATCTTATTGACTTCTCTTAAAATCAATACCCTAAGGTATCAGGAACACAAGGATAGAAACAGGCTTCCACTCTGAAATGTACTTGATGTGTCCTCACACAAAACTCTACCATATAACAGTTAAAGGGCACCCAATATAGAGATTGGGATGATGAAGACATTCAGTCATATGGTAATAGCGATAATTACAAGTTTTAAAGGTAGAAATTTAGACCCAAATTAGATTTATTCACTCAATATTCACTTATTTTCATAATGAAAAGTTGATTCACAAAGCCAACAACATAAACTTTTTAAACAACTTTTAAATTGCAACTTATATAAATGAGGATTATTATTTTTTATGTTTTTTAAACAATTCCAGCTCTATTGAGTATAATTGACAAATAAAATTGTAAGATGTTTAAAATGTGCAACGTGATGAAAACAATCTGTCCCTTTTTACAGATGAAAACTAGGCCTACTTATTCCAAAGATGAGAAGATATGCAGCTTGCATTTATTGGGGATATTATTTTCTTTGAAAAATGCCTCAGTTACCAGTATTATTCTGTTAATGAGTTCCTGCCTGTTGAGAAAAAAATGAACTGCTGAATTCAAATGTTTTTCATCTGAAAGGCATTCTAACATTTTTAATATGAACCATTCATTAAAGAAGCACACTTGCATTATAGCTCTGAGTGGCGATACTTGGACTTATGGCAGCATGACATTATTAAATAAGAAACATTTGTGAATGTCAATGATATTCTGGGGACTGGATAACTAAACAAGAAATTTATGTGGCCAGTAAAGCACTAGATGATTTTTCCTTAAACTTCTAATTCTTCACTTTAGTAGAATTAGACCAGTCCAGGTTAGTAAAACTAACCACAGAAATGAATATTCTTTTATATGAAATAATTCTGAAAGTAACACTGAGAATTTCCAAGGGATATATTCAGGCATCTGACTAAAATTTTTGTTTGACTTGTTATTGTTTTTCTTAGCATCACCAATATAAAATATTTCCAAAATGGGAAACGATCACCATCTGGAGTTCTTCCATGAAACAGTGAGCTCATGACAGAGTATTAGGTCACTAATTTGTAGCATTACTGTTTCCCTTTGTGAACTTTCTCAGTTAAATAGGGAAAAATTTGTTAAGGCTGGAAATTAAATGACAAAGAAACTGCAGAAAATCATAATCATTTGTCATTTATTTCCACTTTAAAACGAATGTGTATTCTTTTACTTTTGAGTCTCCATCTGAGTTGCAACAGTATGACACTCCTAGTTTGTAATAAATCAGTCGTTTGCTACAGAGAGTGTGGTGTGTTCCAACCTCAATGGACTTAAAGATTGCTGGTCATCCTAGACCAAATTCAACCTGAAATGAAACTGAACAGAAGTCTAGAACTACAATTATTTATTATTTTTCCTTTAGTTTCCCAAGAATATTCATCTTGCTAATAAGAAAAGGTAACATTTTGAGGACTTCTGTGAAACTCTAACAACAACATAAATAAATAAATAAAGGATTAAATTGTTCATCTTTGTTGGAAGAATAAAGAATCAAGAAGTATTCATTTCTAAACAAACAAGTTTGGTAGGAGGTGTTTAATCTGTTTAAAAGCTGCTTTCTGAACTCATTTTCTATGCTCTTAAGAAAACTTCCTTTGATTAGAGATAACTTTTAAAATGCAACTTATATAAATGGGGATTATTATATTTTACATGTTTTTTAATTATTCCAGCTTTATTGAGGAATAACTGACAGGTAAAATTGTAAGATACTTAAAATGTTCAACATGATGATCCATATTATTGTGAAAGGATTCTGACTTAACACATCTATCACCTCACATATTTAACTTTTTTCTTTCTTTCTTTGCATTTTGGTGAGAATATTTAAATCCTACTCTCAAAGCAAACTTCAACTTTACAATACAGTATTATCAACTATAGCCACCATGTTATATATTAAATCCTCTGACCTTATTCATATTATAACTGAAAGTTTGCACCCTTTTGCCAACCTGTCCCTGTTTCCCACATCACCCACCCTTTGGCAGCCACCTTTCCACTCTCTGTTTCTATGAGTTCATCTTAAAAAATCCTTTGTTTTTTAGATTCCACCTATAAGTGATACCATGCAGTACTTGTTGTCTTTATCTGGCTTATTTCATTTAGCATTTAGCACGCCTTCCAAGTTCATCCATGTTGTTGCAAAATGTCAGGATTTCCTTCTTTTTAAAGGCTGAATAATATTCCATTATGTACATATATCATACTTTCTTTATCCATTCATCTATCAACAATACTTAGGTTGTTTCCATACCTTGGTTATTCTGAATAAAGCTGCAATGAACATGAGAGTACAGATATCTTTCAGAGATAATGATTTCACTTCCTTTGGATATATGCCCAGAAGTGGGATGGCTGGATCATATGGTAGTTATATATTTAATTTCTTGAGATACCTCCATACTGTTTTTCCTAGTGGCTGTCCAACTTACATTTCCATCAACACTGTAAAAGGTTTCCCTATTCTCCACATCCTTGCCAGCATTTGTTATCTTTTGTCTTTTTGATAACAGACATCCTAACAGGTGTGAAGTAATATTTCATAGTGGTTTTGGTTTGTATTTCTCTGACAATTAGTTATTTTGAGTACCTTTTCACATACCTACTCACCATTCATATGTCTTCTTTGCAAAAATGTCTATTCAGGTCCTTTGCCCATTTTTTAAATTGGGTTACTTGGGTTTTTTTCTTTTCTTTTCTTTTCTTTTTTTTGGTTATTGAGTTGTCTGAATTCCTTGTATATTTTGGATGTTAACCCCTTATCATACATGCAGTTTGCATATATTTTTTCCCATTTCATAGAATGCCTTTTTATTTTCTTGATGGTTTCTGAGGCTGTACAGAGCTTTTTAGTTTTATGTAGTCCCACTTGTTTATTTTTGCTTTTGTTGCCTTTGCTTTTAGTGTCAAGTCCAAAAAATCATTGCCAAGACCAATGTCTAGGAGTTTATCCCCTATGTTTTCATCTAGTAATTTAAAAGTTTCAGATCTTACATTCAGGCCTTTAACCCATTTTGAGTTGATTTTTATCTATGGTGTGAGACAGGGATCCAGTTTCACTCTTTTGTATGTGGCTAACTGGTTTTCCCATCACCATTTATTGAAGAGACTATTCTTTGCCCATTGTATATTCTTGGCTCCTTTGTCAAAAATTAATTGACCATATATGCATGGGTTTATTTCTGGGCTCTGTATTCTGTTCCACTGATCCATGTGTCTATTTTTATGTCAATACCATACTGTTTTGATTACTAGAGCTTTGTAATATAGTTTGCCTCCATCTTTGTTCTTTCTCAAGATTGCTTTGGCTATTGGGGATTTTTTGTGGTTCCATAAAAATTTTAGGAGTTTTTTTTATTACTTCTATAAAAAATGTCACTGGAATTTTGATAGGATTGCACTGAATCTATAAATTGCTTTGAGTAGTATGGTCATTTTAACAATATTACCTTTCCAATTGAGCACTGAATGTTAAGTACATTAACACTGTTGTGCAATTGGCTTTGCATTTTTAAATGATTACATAGGAATATTGATCAGAAAAGTGTACAGAAGCAGAATAACTACTTAGGGAACCCAAAAGATATCTAAGTAAGAAACGATGAAGGTCTAAAGTAAGACAGTGGTTATGATGATTACAAGGAAAAGGCAGATTTGTGATACAAGAAAAGATCAACAGATTTTGGTGGCATGTGGCTGAGAAAGAAATCCAGAATGCTCTCAAGTTTTTG